TCAGCAATAAATATTAAAATATAATAAAGCAATATAAAATACAGTAAAAATAGAATAAAAAAATAATAGCAAGGTGATATTCAACTGCCAAAGGCCCTCTGGAATAACTCTGTTTTTACTGCTTTCCATAAATATCCAAAGGGACCCATAATGTTTGTGCTGTGATGGAACAATATTCATCTCCTAGCTTCAGCCCTTTTAATCTCATGGAAATGTTAGATTATTAGGAGTTCTCCTGAGGGGAATGTACAGTTCTCCAACCAGGTTCAAGGCAAGTCTTGAAAATATCTGTTGAAGGACTATAACATAATTGGTTCCCCTACTAATGCTGTAAATTTACCAATACATTATATTCACCCTAGTTCTATTGCTACAGAAGAATAGTCCTGGTTTTTGGGAGGAAAAGAGGTATTGGTTATGTTATTAAGATCCAAACAAGAGTTTTGAAAAAATCCAGTTACAGGGTGGGAAGGTGCCATGAAATCCAGCGTCTCTAACTCTCTGGTCCATGCAGGAATCTCAATTAAAGCATTAGGTGGGAGCCTCTTTCATCCTAGATCTTGGATGATGAGGTCTATGCTGTGTGAGAGAATGTTGTTTACTATCATGATGTGAAAGTATTCCTTCAAAACTTATATCCCAGTTACTTGCAAAAAGGTTTCTTCAACCTATTGAAGAAGTCTGCATTTCATCACGAATAAATCTGTTTTCTCTCTGCTTGTGACCTACATATGTTAGTCGGTGCAGTGTAGCACTTCGAACCTCACACTCGAATTGCAGGGGGCTGGGTTCAAACACCCCCCCCCCAAAAAACTGTGAATCACCCTGGATGACTTTTGGATTTGTCACTGTCATTCAGCCAAATATATTTGGGCAACAATCCTGCAGGGCAGGAAAGAAGGTCAGGAATATGTACGCTGCAGTGAATGTGTTCCAGGAGTAAGTGAAGTTTTCGCTGAATTTGGAAAGTTGCCGCTTTGAGTCAGCCTGTCAGGCTAGACTCACACCATATTTGCTAGGTGATCTGCAAGTTTGTTCCTTCTTCTGTTCTGTTTTTAATTTAGGCTTCAACACATTACAAGTTTTATTTTTTATTTTTAGTCAGGTTTAATTTTTGCTTCTATGGGGCGCAAGAAAGTCCTTTTTTGGATACGTGATATTTATAGGAATGTTCTTGCCCCTGCCATCTTCTACCAAAAAAAAAAACCCCACTGTTGAATTTCTGTGGATTTGTTTTGCTTTCTCCTTAACAGAGTTGTGGTGCTGACATGCCACGAGAGACCTGTGGATCTTCTACCCTATTAAAATTCAGACTTTATTCAAATAAACCCGTGGCCAAGAATCATTAATGAAAAGAACAGCTGATGCAAATGAAATTCATTGCTATGTTGTTAAAAATATGTATGCCTCCATTAAAATTACAGTCTCACCCCCCCCCTTTGTTGCACATTGCTAAGTACTTTGGTACATTTTGAAAACTTGTGCGTGTTTAGGGGATCAGGCTTTCGACTCCAATAATCAATTTCCATTTTCACTGTCACTTGAGGTACCTTTTACACTGTTCTGTTGGGATTTGTAACCTGATCCCACAATGGAGTGTTGAGCGCTGTAAGTTCAATGCGGGGGGGGGGGAGATTGTTATTAGACTCTTATAGAAGGAGGGCCAATGGTGGAGTAAAAATGAAGCCTCCATAGTCAGGATCTGTGATGGTCAGGTTTGCTTGGTTTTCTTTGATGCTCGTGAAAATGGGGTTCTAGACAAGACATCTAGATTCTAGTCCAAACAACCCAGATTTGATTATGGCCTAATTTTCCCCATTCAAGTATGTTTATTGGCAGACAACGGCATAGTGCAGATATCATAAAGGGCATTAGAGATCCAAATACAACAGGATTTGGGGGGGGGGATGATAAAGCCGTAGGACAGCAAAAATGCCAAGATAGTTGGGATCTGGGGGTAATGGAAGGCAGAAGGGCGTCTATTACGTTGCAGACTTTTCTTGGAGATATGATGCTAAATCCCAGAACCTTGTGAACTGGCTACATTGGGTGCAGCGTTACTACCCTCCCTGGATTTGCCATCTGTGAGATTATGTAGCACACCAAATAGAGTAGAAGGAGGGCAAGAGTGATAAAAGGTACTGTAGAATTTGGGAAGTATTTTGCCCAATGTAACACATCCTTTGTGCTTCTTTTGCAGTTCGCCTCCATGATAGCATATCCGAGGAAGGATTCCACTACCTCGTCTTTGATCTGTAAGTACTCTTTGGTCCTAACGTAGTAGTTGTTGCTCCAGAAACTCTTGGCTGGCCAAGGCCTTTCTGGAATTTGCTCATTTTTAAAGTCTTCTCCTCTCCTCTGTCCTTCTTTCTGGTTTTGGCTGCCACAAGTTGATCATCCTCTTTATGGAGCACTTCGGATAGCCTTATGCCCTCCCTTCCCGCCCCTTCTGAGCAAATGTTTGCCTGCTGCCACCGGAGCTGGGCAGGCGCTGCCATCTGAATGGATGTAGGTGGGCGAAGACTGCAGCTGCAGTGCTGCCATTAGCATAAAGGGGTGGGCAGAGAAGAGAGGGGAAGGAGGCTATCGAGATGATAGCAGTGACTCAGGGACCCTGGCAGGCTGTACAGGCCCAGGGTCACCCTGCTGTTTTTAAAGACCCAGGGTATGCCTGCTGCTAGGAGCCACACAGAAGGTTGGCTCCAGGGCTCCAGATGGTGATCTTGCCTTGATTCCTCGCTCTCTTACATGTGGCTGTGAAGGGGGTAGGCCATGTCCTGGGCAAAGTATCTGGCCGTGGGGGGAGGCACAGAGACATGGTGTGCTTTGCTTGGCTGCCTCTCACTTGATTTCCAGATATAGAAACCAGTGATCTCATCTCCTCCTCCTCTTTGACAGCTCCAGTTAAGCAGCAAACTATATTTAGCTGTCCTCTGAGTCAGTGCAGCCCCTGCTTCTCTCTCTCTCTCTCTCGTTTTCCTTGCTTGGAGTCACATAGACCTTGGCATGGTCATGGCTGCAGCGGGAAGAATTGAAAGCTAGCTATAGATTTTTCCTTTCTTCACACCCTGCCCTTGTGGCCAAAGGTGGCTCTGAGCCCAGCTGTGGAGCAGATCAGGTGCAACACTCTTTCAACTACCTTGTATGCCATTGCAGGCATGTGGGATTAAATCTGGATTCCTTGAATAACTGGCAGATGCAGGTGCAGGTGTGATGAAATGAGGGGATAGAGGAGTAGCGTGTTATGGTCATCCAGTGAAGATATTGGAAAGTGCTAGTGCCCCCAGTATGCAAGACTTGATCTAGTCAGTTGCAGTAATGAAGTGGGAGCTGAATCATCCACTTGATTCTCTGCGGTAACCTTTACATCCACTCCGTTCTGTTTCCTAATCTCTGCATTTCTATATCAAATAGGAGTCATTCTTGTGCACTTCTGGCATGCTGCTATTTAACATAACAGCTCCTCTCCCCTCTAGCCTCTCTCAAAATGTTTAATTAATTGTGACATTTGGTGGCTTGAAGGAAAAGTACAGAATTATATACATCACTGCAGAGTGATCAGAATGAACTATTTTTATTTGTAATTAAATGTAAGTATAAATGTAAATTACAAAGGCCAAATTTAAGTTCAAAGGCCAAATTCTTGGCTGGGAAATAGTGCACATCTGTGTAATGCTTCCTAGGGCTTGCATTCCATTGGATTCAATGGGCCTTACATTTGGGTTAATGTACTTAGGAGCATTCCATTGGTTTTACACAATCATAGCAGCCTAACATTTTTGCCCAGGTTTAATCAAACAATATGCTTGGGGCAAGGGTGGTGATACAGGTAGCTGTTTTTTATTCCTGGTGATGAATCACCTTATCTCCATCTGACCACATTTCTTATGCTTTTGATCAATAGTGCAAGAAGTTCAAATGAGGAAATAGTAAAGCAGTCATTCTGAACCATTATTGCGTTGAAATTCTGGTTCTGTGGTTTACTGGGCACATGTGGGTTTGTTGACCACAATTGAACTCTGGAGAGCTTGTCTGCCATTGTTCTAAACTTGGCACCTGGACATGGCTTTGGATACTCTGTCTTCTACCTTCTACCTATCCTACATTGCCTTTAATGATATTGTATGTTGTCAAGTCAGTATCAACACTGGGTGAGTTTGTATGATCATTTTAGCTCTAGTGCGTGGATGGCAATTTTTTAGTGCCTGACCTGAAGGCTGAGGGAGGTGGCCTGCTTTCACCCTGGTTGAGGTACAATGTGGTGATGATAATGTCTCTGCCCTTGTCTACTTTTCCGTCAAAATGGGTAGGCCAATAACATAATAGAAAGCAGAGCTGGACTTGACTTGAAAAATTAAACAAGATAACCAAAGCAGTGAAACCAACAAGATAAAATAAAACCAGCCCTCAACAAAACTCTCCAAAAGCCACACTGTTTTTTAAAAGCCGCAAGGGAATTAGCTTGTTAAATGTGCCAGGGAAGATGTTTAGCAGAATTCTGACTGAAGGTCTGAGAGGTGACAATGAATAGAATTTGGGAAGTGCTGTGTGACTTAATGCTAGGCAGACAAGATTTTTGCTCTTCAACAGGTTGTTGAGACAGGTAGGAATGCACCAAAGAAAACTTACTGCATATCGGTTGATTTAGAGGTGGGGAAGGGAAAGGATATGGAAAAGTGAATAGGCTTGATTTATGAATTTTTTTGCATGAAGATACAGTTGAAGCTTGTCCGTTGAATGAAGTAAGAGCAGTATATGATGGAAGTAAGGAGAATAAATAGAATGCTTAGCAAATGGTTCAGCACTGAGTGAAAGACAAGGATGTGATGTCTCCTTGGTTGTTTAATGTATTTTATGGGTAAGTGCATGAAGAACACTTGTGATGTTAGAGGTGTGTTCGTTGGGAATATAGATGTACATGTAGTTTTGTAAGCAGACAATGCAGTATTGTGGGCTGAGAACCCAAATGATCTACAGTGTAGATTGTATGATGCCATAAAGAGTATGGATCTGAAAATCAATATATCAAAGTTCAAAGTGGTTGTGTTAGTCCAGGAAAATAGAGTGAACAGTTGCAAGTTATACATAAATGTCAAAAAATTAGAGCAAGTAGATGAATTTGTGTACCTTCATGGAATATTTACTAAAAATGGAAAAATGGATCGAGAAATTAAAGACGGTGCAAAGGCTGGTAGAAAGATAGTGGATAGTATGTGATCAATGGCAAGGAATTAATGTTTGTCAAAAGAACCGAACATAGCTTTGTATTAGATTCTGCTTCTGCTTTGTTATATGGAATTAAGATGTGTCAGGAGAAGTATAAAAATAAATAGAATGCAGTGGGAATGGGGTCCATGAAAAGTTTGCATGATAAAATGGGTGCTGAATGAGTGTAGATTGAATACAAAAGTGAGTGACCAGTAAAAAAAAAAACATTGAGAGAGAATGAAGTTCAAATTGAAAAATAAATATAGGGAGGAAGAGTGAATGGGTCAAGAGGAAAGCGGAAGACTGAGAAAGTTGTGATTGGATGGAGTTGATGAGATCTTCAGAAAGAAAGATGAGCATGAGCATGAGCAAAAGGCAGTATATAAATCAGTTTATGGACAAGAATATCTTGCAAGGATAGAAAGAAATATGGAAGCATAGTGAATTGTGTTGATGTAAATTAGATTGAGCTGTATTTCTTCCCTTTTTTATTTATGCCTCAAATGGCTTTAGCTTATTACTTCTTGGTTGTTATCTGCACTTGGTGTAACATTGCTTACCCTGAAAAGGAGTTGTGTTATGATTGTGTATGTCCATATGTGGTTGCTAAATAACTAGTCCTCTATCTAGATGAATGTAAGAACTTCTCCCAAACCTAAAATATTATCCTACCGGGAGAAGAAGCAGAAAGTGAAGAAATAATCTCAGTATAAGTGTACCGTTTTGAGATAGTTGCAGTCAGGTTTTAAACTATATATATTTACCCTCAAAATATAGTTAGAAAAATTAGGCCATTTCTGATCAAATAAACACAGTTTTGGCACATTAGCAAGCCTTAGCAGATGCTCAACAAAGCCTGTCTTATGTTGGCTCTGATGAGAGTCCCTGATGGAACAGAAATTGGTTTCATGGCAACACTTTTCCTCCTTTTAGATCATGGTCTACAAAATTAAGAAAGAGGGTGAGAGAAGAATAGAACTTGCAGCAAACATTCCAAGTCTTTTAAGAACAATTGGGCTTCAATGATTGTAATGGGAAGAAGAAATAATCTTGAGGAACAGGAGGAAAACCCCAAGCAAGACAGCAGTCTGATAAAAGAAATCTGAGTCCAGGCCAAAATTGTAACTTGAGAAAGACCCTCCCTAGTTCTCATGAAGATAAAGGGAGGGAGGGGGAAAATGCATTTAGACTTGCAAGATTCTCTTACTATAACCTTACAATAAAAGTAGTATTAACATGCATGACTTGGGTTTCCTAGTCTGGTCTACCTGGAAGGGCTGACAGTGATACACTCTCCAAAATGTCCTACTGACAAATGTCAAACTCTGATTTGTGTTACTTTGCAGGGTCACAGGCGGTGAGCTCTTTGAAGACATTGTTGCCAGAGAATACTACAGTGAAGCTGATGCAAGGTGAGTGGTAACTCCACATCCACCTGTCCCCCCCTCCATCCTTCTCCCTCCCCCAGCCCCGCCCCTTCTTTCTGTTCCCAGATCCCATGCCAGCTTGAACCTGTGTAACATGAACCCATCTGTGATCAGGGAGGTTGGGGTGGGAGTTGGATCCATATAGTTGGATTCAAAAGATATCACATGGTTACAGTGAAATTCATATGTCCTTTGGCACCAGAGGTTGCCATAATGTTCCCCCATTGCCTTATGCAGTGCCAGCCATGCCAGCCATCCATACACACACACACACCCTTGGACTGCTGCACTTGATTACTTAGTCACAGCAGAGGGTGGGGGTCCTGTTCATTTCATTGTTGTGAAGAAGATGGAATTTCTGAAAGGCACTGCAGGGTGAGAATAGATGCACCTATCCTGATTTCTTCCTGCACCCCCGCCCCCCATTTATACTAAGATACAAGAGCTTTATTTTCTCATTAGTTCTGAGGATTAAGGATACGCTCTTTCCAAATGGACTTTGAGCAGAGCAGGTCACCCCCCAGCTCCTTCTTTGCTAAAGAAAGTGTGACAGGTGAGAGAGATCTGGTTGAAGAGCTGGCTGGCTGGAGTGTGCTCCCACTACTACAAACAGTGCTTACTATGTGGTTGAGTATCTCAAGTTCAGAAGGGTTTTAGCATTTTGTATAAAGGAAGTTGTTGTTAGTACTTTCATCCTTTAGCTTTCTCACCCTACTTCAACTGTAGAGAGATTTGTATTGCTCTAGGCTAGTTTGGAGGTTATATGATCTCTTGTGCAGATGATTTCCAGTTTAACTGGGATAATTGGGGATAAGAACTGGAGGTGTGCAAGGAAACAGGAAAGTTGGTGTAAGGAGTAAAAATTGGAGGGAACACAACTGAGATTAGTGTTTGCTGGGCAAAGTGTATACGGTTAGCAAAGAGCCCAGAGCCTCAAGAGTTGATGGAACAAGAGCACCAAAATGACAAAACAGTGTTGCATTTGAGAAGCATGTATAACTAGAATACAGGGGCAAGCGGGAGTCTGAAGTTTGCCAGCCATGAGTGGAAGGAGTTCCAGCCTTTGGAGTGGTGCAGAAGAGCAAAGGCTGGGGAGATGGGGGAGGCACCAAAGAGACATCAGCAAACTCAGACACTAATCTAGAGCTGTCATGGCAAGAGACTGTTGACCAAGACGCGAATATGTTAGTCAAGAAATTTTGCAAAGTTGCTTCTGTTTGTGTTAAGAAGCCTGCTTGCCCATGGCTGCTTCCCAGATGTTCCAGTGATTTTGCCATGAGAACATTATAGGAGAAAGGGAAGCTATAGCAATCCCAAAGCTTAGAATCTGGTGTAATTCTTCCCACACAATTTCAGTTTTCCTACATCATTCCTTCATTCCTCCAGTGCTGCAGCGGTGAGAGAAATAGCCGTAGGGGAGCAGAATAATTCTACCATAAAATCCAGCCCTGTGTTTCTTTATATTGTATGCTCCTTAGGACAGCAGCCCCTGTTTTTTTGTACTCTATAAAAGACCAGGCACGATGATGGTATGGTACAAATGATGAAAATAACATCGTGTTTTGTATGAGCACCTCTGATTTAATGGTAGCCCTGCATGAAAACCCTAGGTCCTTTCTCAGGGTGGTTCCTTCCCATAAAGAGGGGCCTAGTGATACAAAAGCATCATCGTTTATGCCTGAACATTTGCCTTCAGAACAGGCCTGATAAGTACATTGCAACTGTACGTAGGAAGGCAGGAACTGGTGTGTGCACAAGATGATTGCCAAGCCTAGCACTGTTCCAAACACAACCTGCGAAACTGACCTACCTTCAGTTTGCAAAGCCAAATGATGCCTTAGAAACTTCCTCTTTAGTATACTGTCACTTGCCCAAATTAAACAATCTTCTCTTTGGCCCCTTTCTCTTGAAGAAAGAGCTGGACATTGACAGATTTGTATGTATTCCCATTTCCAGCAATTATGCTTAGTTAGCTTCGGAGAGAGGTCAGGTACAGCTAATAGCATAATACCCCAAATAACTGAATTAAGAACAAGAAGGATGAAACCTATGCAGGGAGTTCAGGAAATTACATAAGCAAGCCAGATGTAGGGATGGCAAATATATTAAGGTGTGGTGGGCTGTGCAGGCTTACAAAGATTGGAGACTTTGTCCAAGAGGTCAGGGACTAGGTTTGATTCAGTGGGATAGGATGTAATTCAAGCAAATGATCATGATAAAAGCACATTTTATGAATGCGTTTGTTTCTCCCTTTTAGTTTCACAAAAATGCTGCAGGGGAGATGGAGCTTTTGTATGGGATGGGACCCAAGTGGTTTGGTTGAACCACTGCGTTGAGTGATCATGTGCATTGTTGGGCTTTGACATAGCTTGCCAGGGGAATCCAGCCACTCTGTGCTTAACATTATGTATGAACCAGGCCATTATGGCTTGTTCAGCAAACTATGGCAAGTGAATACCCTGCAAATAGAATTAAGTTTTGTAATAGTGTATGCTTTATTTTCCTTAATAACCCCACTTGCTAATTTAATCACTCCATTCCACTTAGTTGTCATGTAGACTGTGAACTGAAGGAGGCCCCAGCTTGCCTGCTTTCCTGGGCTTGTACTTGTTTCCAGTATCTTATGTGTCACTTTCTGTCTCCTTTTGGATTAACATAGTGTGGCTTGGGCTTCCTACTGTTTATGGTCAGGTTCTGTCTTTTCCTTGATTATTAAGGTTGCTAGTTGCCTGGTAAAACTTCATGCCCTTCATCATCTCATTAATACTCCTATGTGGGAGTGGTTGGCAAAGAGAAGCAAGCAAGATGATGTTGTGAACAGACCAGTTTGCCTTCTTTTAGGTTGAGAGTATCCATATTGGGTTATTACCTAAAGAAGAAGTAGGCAACCCAGTGTCCTCCAGATGTTTTGGACTATGTCTCTCCAAATCACTTATTTCTGGCCATGTGGCCTGGTGGGACTGAAGTCTAGAACAATTGAAGGATATTCAGTTGCCTGCTGTCCAACTTAATGACCTCAAGTTCATTCATGCTTTGAACTACAGCTACCATCAGGTCTAGCTGGCAAGTCCAGTGGTCAGGGATCATGGGAACCATAGAATATAATGTCTGGAGAGTGCTAGCATGATGATGGGAGAGGATAATCAAAATCAATGAGAAAGACTGGTTTCCCATTTGCCAACTTATATCCTCTCTGCTTCTTCACATTTAAAATGGAATCTTGCAATCTAGTGCTTGTATCTGTAAGAAGACTTTCACTGCTTTTTGAGCCCAAGTTCATTACAGGAGTTCTCTAAAGCAAGTGGCAGAACCAATAAACTTAGAGCAATAGATATGAAAAAGTTCTGCCATAGACCTTTCAGACACTGTCCTAAAAACATGCGTACCAAAACTGTAAAAACTCTGTGCTCCAGATACAACTAAAGCACATATTCAGAACTGCCAGATGGTACAGCCCTTCCTTGCCTATAGCCCTACAGATTGTAGCTGTAGGATTATGTGTTGAAACACTCCTGATACCAACATTTCTTTTCTGGAGAAAACTGACTAATCTTTCTATGAATAGGAAATATTTGATGTGGGAGAAAACATTCTAGCATATGATTCCCCCAAATTCTGGTGCAACTCAGTTGTTCAAAATGTGAAGATTTTACCTAAACTCTGTTTATTATTAGGGTGGTGTGTTATTAAATCCTTTGGGATTAGGACAATCCCCTGCTTGTTTTCCCAGCATCTGAATTTACCAGGCTAAAAAATGGATTCAAACACATTAGCACATAACAGCTCAAGCTAGTAGCATAAATGTTTGTAATGTTTGGTTTTTATAATTTTTAATTGTATTTCTGATTTTACTTTGTTGTAAGCCGCCCAGAGTCCCCCGCTGTGGGGAGATGGGCAGGGACAAATCAAAATAATAATAATAATAATAATAATAATAATAATAATAATAATAATAATAATAATGGGAGTTACTATCAAGAGAGAATTCTTGCAAAGCTAGTTTTCACTTTTAAAGCCACCTTGAACTGGGCAAATTCTTTTGTTTAAGGGTTTTCTACATTTAAAACCCAATGAAAGGGAAACGTAAAAGCATCTAGCTTGCACCAAAAGATATGCATAGGTACAGGGTAATTTTGTGGCTGCCCAGATTTTGTCTGTTAGTAACACCTGAACACTTTTAGTGATTTGTGACTAAACAGGGTGATCGGTCCCTTTGCAATGAGGCTGACCTCTGAAATATCAAACCCTTCTCTGGACAAATCTGAGAGGTGGGCTTTTTCAGAACTTCATATTGTCTTTTAGACGTGGCGGTTACAAGCCATTTGTGAGTGACAGTCATGCAAAAGAGCTGAAAGCAGTATCTAGGATCCTTTTTTTTTTCCTCCTCTTCCTGGAAAGGTTTCCAGAAAGCCAGCATCTTAATCCTGGCACAAAGGTGACTCTTTCAAATGAAGAATGTTGCTCAACCCCTTTATTGATAGATACATGCACAGGATCTCCATTCTTGAATGTAGCATCCTCTTAGTTCAAATAGATGCTAGGACTCTGAAGACACCTCCCCTTTCCCCCGTTTGAGATGCCAATAATGTAGGTTTGTCTGCTTTTGTGCAAAAAGCAGGTTGATTATCCCCAACCCTGTTTTAAGCGTAAATTTATCCCTGGTTTTTAGAAGGTCATTTGTTAGCATGAATATTGCTAGCTTGTGTAGTCACAATCTAATTCTAATTTTCTGGTTCAATCTTATGTTCTGTGACCCTTTCTTGTTTTGTTTTAAGTACTAACACTTTAAAATGTCTTAAAATTGATTCCTCAGTAAGTTGTTCCATGGCACAAATAATAAAGTTTTGGACAAAAATCTTCAGAAATAGCATCTATCTTTGTTGTTATTGGCCTGCCTCTCCACTATTGCTGGAATTTTCCTTAATTTTTCAGAAACTGCTTTTTAATCTGGTTCTATGAACATTCAGCAGGAATAGCCAGTCTTT